TTTGTGGCAGCTGCCTCTTTCTCAATGGAAGTGGCGGGCTGCGAATTTCTGCTTTGGTGCCTGACTGCTGGCACTTGTTCATGCCCATGTGTCACTGTACACGAGGCCTTCTCACTCACTCACTCGCGAAGAGGGGCGACGGCAGGCGGAGCTCCAGCGATGTGGGGCAGCTGTGAAAACGCGCGCTGCGTATGGGCCAGTTTGGGAATCAAGCATGGCGGCCGATGCTGGGTCGAGCTCACATCGGAGGGCCCGGTCAGGGAAGTGATGTCGGTGCCTGGGTCATCGTAGTGGTAACGATCCGCGGCCCGCCAGGGAAGACAAGCGCACAGCCGCTCAGCGAAAACGGCTCGCGGTGTGCCAAGGGTTGGAGGCAGTCTGCCCAAGAAGCCCAATATGCGGCCAACGTGTGCCGGACGGCACTGCGAAGACCCAGCAAGCCGCCGTGCAAGTCGGGCCCGGGCGGCAGCGAGAGATGGCAGGAAATCACAGTTGGCACTGGCGAGAGCAAGGCTCGAGATTGGGCACCCGCAGCCACCGGGCCGAGGCTATAAAGTGTAGCGACTTGTGGCATTGGAAAGGCTCGGCGTCACGGCCGCAGTCTTGGTGAGGTTTTTGTGCATTTTTTTCAGGGTTGTTTGCGGCAATTCGTTGGCATCATTGCGCCCACCACCTGGCCATCACGAACATGCACGGTCCTGAAAAAGTGGACGCTCGTCCCTTATGATAGAGTGGCCGCGGGGGCCTACGCCAAGCATCTGGCAAGAATTGGTGGCCGCGCCGTGGGTAAAAGGTTCGGTAATAGGGGATTGGTGATAAAAAAACTTTGAAAGCATCAAAAAAAAACAAGCATCATTTTATAAATATAGCACTTCTTGGGGTGAACACCAATCCGGAATGTTTTTTTAGATGCTTGGGCTTCTACCCTGTACTTTGACAGGAACAAAAGAAGGAAGGCAAACAGGAAGGAAGCAAGGAAGGAAGGATTGCTCATCATGTGTCATCATTTTTCATTAATTTTCATGAATTTGGACGTTTTTTCATCACATTCATGTCCATTTGCATAACATTCCTTGATTTTGTTTCAATTTTCGAATGTCTTCCTCATTTTGCAGGGTTGTTCCTTGATGTTCATGATTTTGCGTCATTTTTTTCATGCTGTTTCATGGTTTTGCATGATATGTCATCGTAATTCATGATTGCACAAATTTGTTATCATCTTTCATGTTATCATTGTGATTCTTTCCCTCTCACGTCTTGTGTCCTTACGCCTATGTCTGCAGTGGACGAAGGGCAACGGCGGGCCGACGGTGTTCGTGGTATTATTGCGCTAGGTGCAAGGGCAGCACTTGTCGAAGTCGTTCCACATGCGCCTCCAACGTCCGAGATGTTGGTAGGCCGCCTAGACCCACTCGCAAGGAGCAGACCCGGTGGTCTGCTGTTGTGCGGCGCAAACACAAACGGAACATGGGCGTCACACACCCTTGGATATCGCACCGAATCGAGATCGCAATGCTTCGACAAGAGGCTTGACTCGTTTGTTGAAAACGTGTGCTCTGCTTGAAATTGAATGAACCGCTTATGCCAACTCTGCCGGTGAAATGTCGTGATACAAACAATTGGTAAATCTTCTCATGTGCGATCGTATGCAGACCGATCAATCCCAGCTTTCGCTAGCTTCAATTTTTGCCTTGCTAAAGTGAATTGTACAGATGTGGCGACAATTCAAATGATTCAAAGTTATCACGCATCACACTTTCTATCATGACATGCCTGTCACAACTCATAGCATCACACACGTATTCTTTTCGGCGCACGCTCGATGTTTCCAAGGTTTCGGTCGACGGTGCAACAAAGTGGCACGGCTCTGCGTTGGCCCAAGCGAACTCAACGAAGATTTTCCGAGTCCGAATCTGAGACGACTGAGGCTCCGCTGTGTTGCAAGTCAATTTAGCAACGTAGTTGAGCCATATTGTCAGTTACACCGTGCCTGACAGGAATTATCGGACGCCGCAAAGGCCAACATAGAGAAGCTGCAGGCAGAGATTGATGAACTCAAGACTATCAAGGAAGAGAAGCAAGGTGCGCACTCGCGGCTCAAACTTGAGATTGATAATTTCCGACAACGCACATCAGCAGAGCTTGCGGCTGCCCGTGGCAAAGCCGCAGTTCCGCTGGTCCAGGAACTCATCCCCATTGCGGATGAGTTCGAGTATGCCAAGCAGAATTTGAAGGTTGAAACAGATGGGCAAAAGGCTGTGGTTGCCAAATTCGAGGCACTCTTTGACAAGATGTTGGACAGTTGGAAGTCTTTGGGCATTGAGAAGATGGCGACAGTGGGCGAGGAATTCAATCCGGAGCTGCACGAGGCTGTCTCGATGATCCCATCGGAAGAATACAAAGAGGCCATCAATGAAGCAGTTACTTACTAGTTGCATCCTTCCATGATTCCGGAGGGCAAAGTGGCTTGCTTGTCTCTTGTTGCTTTGCAGCAGGAAGTGGTTAGCAATGAACTTCGACCGGGCTGGGTCCTGAAGACGCCAGGCCATCCTCAGGGCAAATAGTTTCAGCCTTGTCCAAGCTCAAGCTGGATGAATGCAACTGTGGACGTGGGCCCCTGCTGCAAAATTTTGTGGGGCATGTTGATTTTGCAAGACGTCAGGTTCAGATGAGCAACAAGTACTGAGGGCGGCCTTGGTGATTGTAAGTTCTGGCCCCGGGCCAGCGTAAGCGGCATAGTATCAGCGCAGGACACTCGCATCATGTGCAGTTCTCGCTTTTTCCCCACGCATTTTGCACGTAGCACTAATATGGTTGCCTCGTGGGCGTGGGAAGGGGGCACCTGCAGTCAGTGAGTCTTGCTTGGGCGTCCAACGAGCAGCTTTTGGCATCTGGTGGCAAGAAGCTTCTCTCCGTAGTGACGTTGGTGGGATGAATGTGAGGCAAGTAGTTCTTAGCTTGATCGTTGTGGTCTTGAGAAGGTAAAGGTGCTTCTTGCGCGTTGTCGAAACCAACAGATTGCATACCAGGCGCGAAGTTTGTTGTTGCCGAAGATGCCACGTTGGTTGGCATTTCCATCCTGCCTCCGGCCACCTTGAAGCCAAAGACCGAGGTACAGCGATTTAATGCGCAGAGTGGTGCCAAAAAGGGTAGTACAACGTCCATGGAGTGCATCCTTCATGGCTATGGGAGATCTCCCGCTGCTGTCATGTTCTTGACGAGATGCGCCGGCCACGCTGACGCTCACATTGGAGCCATCGCTTCTCTCGACACAGGCCTTCTAGCCGGGTGAGAACATCGCGTTGTGAAGTTTTCTCATGTTTTCTCTTTTCAGGCAGGTGTACAGAGCCCATCGTCGGGACGAGCTGAAGGATCCCAAGCGAGCTCTGCGGTCGACTCATTCAGAATTCAACGAATTCAGTGGCCATGCTCCGGGTCAGCGGCCAAGGCTGGCAGTGCGAAGGCTGATGCTTGAAACCCAGCTCAGATGCAAATTCCTGGGTATACTTTAGCAGTTTGGTGCTGTACATGTATGCATGTTGCAGCCGTGCTCAATCAAATTTCCTGCATTCTTGGAGCTCATGGACCAGGACAATGAAGGCAGGACCCACAGTTGACGCAAGCGGCGGGAATAACCAAGACGGAGCCTCACGCTAGTCATGAGGGCGTTCTGGTTGAGCAGCGTGGCAACGGAAAGTAGGCAACGGTATTCCGTTTCATCTTCATGCTGGTATAAGGAAGCTTTTGGAAGCGGGCAGGGGCAGCTCCGCTCCGCTACTCGTAACATGGGCTGGTAGTTGTTTGGCCAGAGCTAAAAGCAGATGAACGGTTTCCTGATTGACAGTATTTGAATCTTTCTGCACCTTCCATGGTTTGCGGTTAGGCGCTGCTGGGCATATTCCCAGCTCTTGCAGCGGCAGCGCTGCGGTCGAAGGTGGTGGGTCCCCCTGTTACTTGTTCCGTGAACTTGCAGGGGCTGTCTGTTGTGTTGTTGTCTTGCAAGTTGCGACAGTTTCAGGCCCGAGAAGATTCCATCCTTTCGGTCCAAAGTTGCAGCCTCAGTTTAGCACCACATGTAGCCTTCTTTATCTTGTGCCGCTTGTAGCTGAGGAATGGAAGCAACTGTGGCTGACATGATTCAGCACAAAGCAGACCCAGTCAACCAGGACCTTTCGCATGCGAAACTGGCATGCGCACGCATGAGCAGGCTTGCTCGAATGTATGCTATTCAAAACTTGCCAAATATGTTTTCGGTGCCGCCCGTCTTTCAACGCTCAGTTGTCAGCCATGAACTGGAAACTGGGGGTACCTCGTGGTTTTTATCACCTTGCAGAAGTTCTCCAACATAGAGGCCTAACACGCGCCCAAAAACCGGTAACAGGCCTCCCCTTCCAGTTTCAGCTCCCCGGCAGGAAATGGTGCACCACATCAGAGCACTGCTGAGGGAGCCTTGGCGCAACATTTGGAGACGCGGAGCCCGCAGGGATGTACTCGTGCTGAACAGTCTTGAACGGCCTGCCCGATTCAGGGATAGCAGGCCATCCGCAAGTCACGCAAAAGTAGCACGGCACATGTCAGCAAACAGGGCCCAAATTCATGCTCCCGCGCTTACAAGGGACGTGCTCAAAGATGTGCATAAGGACGCAGTGTGGCCGCACATCCTGGGGCAGCACCGGGAACTTCAGGCATATTGTATCACGGTAGATGATGCCTGATCTGAAAAAGCTCCTTGAATCTTCTTGCTGTCTCGAGCCAGATGGGTTTTGTACACTTTCACTTTGTGGGCAGGCACAGTTAGATGAATCCCTTCAGCATTTCCGGGAATGCCAGGCGACCTGAGTGGTTGCATGAAAGGGATTCAGTTGAAGGTGCTTGCCCTGTAAGTGCCCAGGCCATTGCTATCAGCACAGGGAAGACGGAAGCGCTTCGTGTTGAGCACGAGCGTTGCAGACATCAGCAGGCCGGCTGCTCAGCCACCTCATCCAAGAAGGTCACAGCAGTGAGCATGCATCCGTCGTGCAGAAAATGTCCATGGGGAGATTTTGTAGTAGGCCCTGGTTATTAAATCGAGGCGTGGGATGGGATGGGATGGCCTAAGCGGTTTAATGGTTGTGCCCTCTTGAGTTCAGTTGGCGGCCCTGGAGAAGAATGCTACCTGCATCTCCGAATTGGAGTCCTCGCGAGTGGTGCAAGAGGAGCGCTGTCGCACCTGGACGGACATTGTTCATGGTAGTCTTGCTTTTGGTACTTTTGCATTGAATTTTGCTACATTTTGATGGTTTTGTGGATCTTCTCATCTGCGCTGGCCGCCGCCATGGCATTGTTCCCCACCGTGGCCGGGCTGACAGGTGCTTTCAACGAGAGAAACCAGATCCCTGAAGTGTCCTGCACTTCCCGCGCAGAAGAGAATGCCACTGCATGGTATGTTGCCTGGTTGCAGTGGCATATCAGTCACCGAAGATGGCATGCAACTGCTTGTGGTGGCTTACATTGCTTTTCATGACGCACCAGGCTTTCCCGATTTGGAGATTTCCCAAAATTAGGGGTACTTTTTGGGGGGTCCCATATTACAGGGCTAGAGAGGAGCCTGGAGAGGTGTGATTCTTGTGACCATAATATGGACTACGGTATTTTTGGGGTCCCTATTGGGCTCCTTTATTTGAGTTATGATTTTGGATGCAAGGCCCGAAACCTGGCTGAGCTGCGTGCAGGGCAGGAACGGCTGCTACACGCTGAAAGGAGATGTGCGGACGTGTCTTGGCATCGGGCATTTGTGGTGCAGTAAGACCCCAATGTGAACCCTAAAATGCCACAATCACTTTGACAAGGGGCCTCAAAACGATACCCCTATTTTTGAGAAGCTCCCTGGGGTGGCTTTTTTCCCTTAGTACAAAACGAGAACAGCAAGCAAACAAGCAAGCCAGCCGGCAAGCAAGCAAGCAAACAAGGCAGCGACAAGCAACAAGCAAACAAGGCACAAGCAAACAAGCAAGCACGCAACATCTCATGGCCATCATGTTTTTCCCCTTTCAGCATGTTCACTGCATGTCATCAATGTTCATCATGTTTACGACATGTTCATCATGCTACGTGATGTGTCATTATGCTTCATCACTCATTTCCGTCATGTTTTATCCTTTTCTTCATATATCTTCGCTTGACATCATCTTTACAGTTTTCCATGATGTTCAGCATATGCCATCACTTCGATCATTCTTCATCAACCGGCATTATGTTGCACTATGTTTCAGTAATTTCCAGCTTTCCATCCCTGATTTCATCAAAATCCAATTTCAATATTTTTAGATCTTAACAATTTTCTGGTTTTTCCACAGTTTTCATGGTTTTCCGAAGCCACAAGGGCAAGGTTCCGAAATGCCGTTGTTTCGGAATGTTGTTTGTTCTGTTCTCGTTCTCGTTCGTATTGCTTCTTACCGTTGCCAGATCAAAAATGTTGAAAGAAAGCACATGTTAAGATCTTCGTCCAGGTTTTGCCGGGGGGGGGGGTTCGCCCGCCCCAACCCTTCCCTCCCCCCTTTGCCCTGCTGCTTTTTTTAAAGCCACATGCAGGCAAGCATTTGTCACCGTAGTTCATCGATTTTTTCACCATTTGTCCTGGGTATGGATCACTTGTCAATATTTTTCATGAAATTACACTTTCCTCATGGTATTTTATCACTTTCATTGATGCAAGCCCATGAAGGCCAATGAACAATAATGCAGCCATGCCAAGTGATGAAAAAAACAAGAAGCTATGAACATCATGAATGACTGTATGATGAGAACTGTTGGAATCGTTGGAAAATGATGACACATGGAATGACAAATTATGAGCATGATGAAAAGTAAAATATGATGAAGGACAGCTGGTCATCAACCATCATGCAACATATGAAAGATGACGATGAAATATGATGAATCGAGATAGAGACATGATGACCCTGTGCTGAAGTTTGTAGCAAACTGACACGCACGACGAAAGATGATTGAACATGAGGACACAAATGACAGAAACATATGCACTGATTTTCCATCATCTTGCATCATTTTCATCACTTTTTCTCATTACAGATTTTTTGATCACATTCATCATTTTCAATCCTCATGCATCATCTTTCATTACTTTTCATCGCGTTTCATCATTTAAGATGTTTCATCCTTATCCCATTTTTCATAGTTGTTTCATGTTTCATCATTTCCTACAGTTCTCGTCAGTTTTTCAACATTTTTCATAATTTTCATGATCATTCTGATTCCATCAGTTTTCATCAATTCTTTTCATGTTGTTTCATCTTTTTGGCCACTTGTCTTTTAATTGTCATGATTTTTCTTCATGTTTTAACAAATTACCATGACTTTCATCATTTTCATGGTGTTTATCACTTGTCATGGCTTATCATCATTATCGTCACTTATCATGGCCGTCATTGTTTTTCATCAGTTTGACTCAGTTTCCATCAGTTTCAACCATTCCATGAGTTTGTATTATCGTCCATATATGTCATGACAGTCATCTTTTTCCACCCTATTACTGTGAGTAAAGTACAAGGATCGGGATGCGGAAAAAACAAGGTGTAAAACGAAACGGCAAAACAGTGCAGAAGAAACACCTGTCAGCATATTTGTGGAGTCGGTGCAGTGTGTAGACGGCAGGGATGCAAGGATTGCCGTGGCTTTGGCCCAGGCACAGAGGAATCACAGCGCGAAAGCGGGTGTGTGCACTGATGCCCACAAGGTTCCCTGCCTGTGGTTGTCTGACATGGCCAGACACAAGACTGAGCTACGTGCCGCAGACTGTAAGGATCTCGTCTCCTTGCAGACAAACTGCGATGCCAAGCAGCTACTTTTGGACCAAGCGGCCTGTGATTTGTACGAATCGGCTGTGGCAAACTGCAGCGCGCAGGCCACCTGACTGTTAAAGGGGCAGGAGTGCTAAGTTTCGCCACGTCAGAAATGGCATGTTTGTAGACGGACCTTTGCCTGTGCATGTGTTCTGAATTCGCTCAGGATGCTTGCTACGAGCAGCACCACCGTAACCATGACAATCTGCTCAGCCATTCAAAAGCACAGGAACGAACGCTCAAGGTGGGCTTGCATGGAACCGTCATGAGCCTGCAAAAGTTCAATATGGCAAACATGTTGAGATGAAGGTGGAGTTCCAGGCATTGCTGCGCATGGAGTGCCTGCTCGAAACTTTTGCGAAGCAAGACAACCAGGAAGCGGCCATCGACCGGTGCAAGGATCCACTGCAATGAGCATGCGAGAAGCTTCCTTTGATCGAGCCTGTGCCATAATCGCCATGATCAGGAGCAGAGCTATGACGCCCGAAACGTCTCTTTCATGTATCCCGCTGTTGCTGTGAGCCCGAACTGCACGATATCAGGACGGGCCTGGCGGTAGGCTTCATCAACCTTCCTTAGCTTAGCACTCCTGGACCATCAGGCTAAAGCTAGTATTTGATTTAAGTCTGCCTTGCAGGAGATTTCAAGCCAGGCGCGGTCATGTCAGCGGTTCACGCAGACATGTTGCCTGCATTCGTGTCCATTGTTCTATATCACTGACATGCGAATAGATAGCGGCTAGCTTTCAGGTGTACAGGGTCTTAAGTGGGGAAGAGCCTTCGAGCAGAGCTGCTGGTAGGCACGGCCAGTTACGAGAAGAGCATTTTTGCGGAATTCCCTGGCCTCCTGCCCAAACGGTGTGCAGCTACGTGCTGCGTATCGCAGCCGCGGCAGCTGCCTCCAGCGCCTGTGTACCAGGCTGCTCATCTATGGCAGATTTTCTTGTGATTCGTGCTTGTCTGGAAGCAGCAGTCAGCAGTTGGAGACCTTGCATTGCAGTGCCGACAGACCCTGCATGGGAGGCAATGCCCCAATGCTACAGCTTCCGCGCGGCCTATGTCCCGCCTCTGATGCCGGGCGAAGCGCGGACCGTGGAGCAGTCTGCTCAAGCCTGCCAGAGCAGGCCAGGAGATGAGCCACGTGCTTTTGCGAGACTTGGATCCTGACGAGGTGCAAGCAGACACCAGGATGCAGCGCCTTCAGCTATAGTTGGGATGGGAGCTGTTTCGTCACCCACCAGTCCGCCAGCAAGGCCCGCATCGCGTATGGAGGGTAGATTGAGTTTAGAGGGTGGGCAGCAAACCTTACCAGCTTGGCAGGTCTTCCAGCCGGGCGTCGTTGCCGGCCCCATGGATTGCGTCGGCATTCCGAGTGCGACTTGTCTAAGCTTTTCACTTGCTGGGATGCGTGTACATCTTCACAGCCCCAAGGATTGCTATAGCTATAACAAGAAGTTCACACCGGAGCTGGATGGGCTTGCTCCTTCGCATGTTTCGCGGAAGCAAGCAGCATATTGCAAGTGAAACGCAAGGATGAATGACCAGCTGCAGCCCACAATTGAATGGTGCTATGACTTGAGACGAGGTGGGTTCCGAAGAGGAATGCCAGAAGCATTGCTTTGACACTGTCGGCTGTGGGCATTGGGCTACTTGGATGGCGGCTGGCCTGGCTCGGCCCATCCAAGCATTGCAGCTGTCGCCACACCGAGGTGTTGCGCTGGGACATGCGCTGCCACTTGGCAGGCGCGCACGTGGGGAGATCAGATCAGATTGGTAAGCAGTTTGAGCTGTGCTTTGATGCTCGAGTGCTGGCCTCTGGTTTTCATTCTGACTGTCAATGATGGTGATGCTGCACACAGAGGGTTGATACACACACCGCAGGAGCTGATGCTGCAATGAGCTATGAGCCTGGCACGGTTAGCGGGCCATCTCAGTGTGTGCAGGTTTCGACTTTGGTGACCTAGCAGGATGCACTCTCTTGTTCAGTCATGTTCAGTCTAGAGCCCACTTGCCTTCAGCTCTCGAACAACCTTGGATGTGCTTTCACGTCCTGTCCTCTCAGCACGACTTTGGCCATTTGTCCCAGAAGTTTTGAGATGATGAGCCGAGTGACACCAAGATCGGCATGGCCACATTCGCTTTCTCTTCATGCTGTGAACAAGGGCTCATGACCCAGGGTTGGTGCACACAGCTTTCAGAAGAGGCCCGAAAGTTTGGAGTAGGCGCTGTAGTTTCACCCACCCTGGGCAGCCTTGAGCTCGCTCTCATTCTCATCCAACATCTCCCGTGCTGCAGATGACATGAAACTGTTGAAGAAGAGAGCCGAAAGTGTTGTTTTGCGGTCCCTGCCGTGATCTGCATTGCAGGAGGAGAATTCAGTGCAACCAATCCCATTTGCATTTATGGGCAAGATACGAGCGCTTCTGGCTTCGAATGCACGGTGTCCAACGTCTGTGCTGCAATCCAACCAGTGTGGAGTAGTGCAGCAGCAAGGATGCCAGCTGCCCTGTTCTAGTTCCGCTTCATGCTGTGCCGCCGCACGCCGCGGGGGGCTTTTAGCTGGGGTCTCTTGGTTTACCAGGCATTCGTTCATGCAGTGTTGAAGCTATACCTCCCCAGCGTAGCCAGCTTTCTGTGCAGCTCAGCAGCTAACAGATGTCAACTCGCAAGCACGTGTGAGAAAGGGCAGGCAAAATCATTTGTCCATGCGTATAGAGTCTGTGGCATTACTGCCCATTGAAGCCTTCATCCGCACATTTGGCTCCGACCAGGTAGCAGTATTTGTTTCCAAAGTCAATCGCTGGGGTAACCAGGAGTCGGTGGAAAGAAGCAAGAAAGCGGACCATAAGCGCAGAAATCAAAAAGGTTCAACGGCGACAGCTTCTCAGCAGCCCCACAGCCGGAGCCATGGACACGGACTCCTGTGGAACCAGCTCGGAGTCCGACAGTAACAACTGGTTGCTTGGGATGATGTTAAGGCAGCTAAGGCGAATCAGGTCTTTGTTGCCTCGTGCTTGCCTGTTGTCGCGTCCTAACCTTTGCGCAGTCTTAGGGCCATCGACTCGCAGGACATGGAAGCAAGCTATCTCTGTCTGCGTTTCCTGCATCCTTCCCCCAAGCATACACTTTGCTGGAGGACAGTGATTTGAAGGAGCTGGAGGGTCACAATGGTGTTCCCTGGTTTTTGTCAATGACGTTTGCGTCCTCCTAATTCCCCAACATATGCAAACATGAGGTTCTTTTGACTGCTGGCATCATTGTGGCTGATGTTGTTGGCGCTGGTATTCTGGCCATGCCATTAGCTTCGGCCTTGGCATCTTTATGGAAGCTGATGGTAGTCCTGTGCAAATGCTTCCTTGGTGCTTAGTTAGGCGATGGCAAAGCTTGGGTTAATCCCCGGAGCTATTACGCGGCAAGCTTACTGAGGGAAAACGCGCAGTTAACGCAAAAGGCCTGAAAAGACAGTTGCATGTGGAAGTTGCTGAACACCTGAGGTTGCTGGTATTGCTCTGTGCGAATGTCCACATATCCATCTTAATGTGGCGAGTCAGGAGTGCCTGTCTGGAATCATATTCTCTAAACCTTGAAGAGGTTTAGTAGGTATGCTTTGCAGGATGTACTGCCCGACCTGCATGGGTTCTGTGACATTCACAGCCGCTTGGCTGGTTTTCTGAAACGGCAGGGATCCAATCGGCTCAAAGGAAAGTCAAGGTAGCGATCTTGATCCCCTATCAGCATGCATCAGGGCACTCTTCATCTGACAGTTGGACTGCTACTTGAGATGCTGGAAGCATGTGATGCTTGCAAGGAATTGGTTCGGGACTGCTTTGCGGAAGCTCCATCCTGGCAGCGGCACTTGATATTTGACAAATCATAGCTCTCTTTGGCAGCATGGCACGCTTGGCAATGCATGTGAAACGTAAGTGCATGGAAGAAACCAAGGATGGTAGTGATCACAGCCATTTGCCAGAAGAGCTTCCTGTTTGGCCTCCTGGCCGTCTACTTGATGAGCGGTGCGCAAGGCCTTGGCCGCTTGACTCTTTACCGTCGCTTGACTCTTTGCCAGGGCTGCCAAGTTCCACAGTCTGCCACAGCCAAGGCATGATCATGAATCACCTCAAGATCTGCTTGCCTGTTTGGGCAGGGGGCCCCTACAAGTTGACTCAGCCGAACTTGAGCTTCTGCTCATGCTCTGAACTCCTTCCTGAGGCAGTTCTTGCGGCTGCGCTGTGCTGCGTCAGCATGGGGGGGGAGCAACATGTGAGACAATCAGTCATTCAGGCCGAAGGACCCAGAGGATGTTGCAGCAAAAGTCTTATCTCAGGCTTCTTCCCTTCGCAGCAACAGCTCGCCATATGGGCTCCTGGCAGTCCCTGGTCTGGGTGAACGTCATCACGCTCTGCGGTACTGTGATGCTGCTTGTCTACTGATTGGCACAAAGGATGAAGCAAGCTGAAGATTGGAGGTGCTAACCATGATGCGACGGATATTGGGTGAATGCACGGATGTTTGTTTTCGAATGGGCGACCACTTTGAGCTTTCATACGTGGTTGCACAGACTGTCAGACTGCAGCAAACCTTCCAAAAATTGAATGTATGCGCTTGTGTATCATGTCGGGGCGTTGGTCTTGATGGAAGTTCTTTCAGAACTGGCTGAGGATCCCACTGGGATACTATAGTATCAATGGCGTGGATGGAATCAGACTACCCAACAGCGAAGTCCAGCTCTTTGCCGAGCCCCAGCACTTACCTCAGTCCAGAATTGCGCAGGCAGCTGAAGCACGGTATTTGGTGTTGCGGTGCCATGGCGATAACAAATCCACAGACCTATGAGGTTCGATGACGTATTGAGCGCGCTGTCAATCTTCACATTTGGGATGACGTCGCAGTTCATGCTTATGGACGTCAAGCCCAGTACATGTCGGGTTGGGTTGCTTCAGACATCAGCCGACTTCGGCTTTGTGGCTTCTCCAAACTTGAGTCCAGATCGATCCTCTGTTCAAAAGGCCTCCTGCGTCTATCTGGGTATCCGGTTTGCTGACACTAGTTCGCAGATGTGCGCAAGACATGTGAAGGTCTCTATGCATGGGCATGCTGGGGTGAGTTGTTGTGGCTGCAGGAGATCATCTCGGAGATGAAGACTCCCATGAAGATGCCGGTGGCGTACGTGCGCCTCTTGCAGTTGACTTGCATGATGTTCTGGTGAGATGCTTGTTAATCACTAGGCCTCTCATTGTCTGGCTACGTGAACGGAACAGCTCCTGGTTCTCGTACTCCGGGTCTCTATGTCCTTGTGTCTCTCAACTTTGTACACAATCTTCGGATAAGACCTTCTTGGATTCTTGCTTGGAGACGGCTCAGGGCTAAGCTGCTACAACATATGCAGCACATCATGCTCATATTTCTCATGGCTCTCTGCTACAGTCAAGAAAGATATTTTTTTTTCTTTTTTTTTTATTTCTGTTTGGGCGTGTCGCACTTGTTTAGACTGGACAGTTAGGCGCTTTGTCTTAATCCCAACTCCTGGTGCTTAAAGATCTTAAAGTCATCAGGATTTCCTAAGCTTGAGCTGAATCCCTAGACCCCAAAGCCTAAATCTGTGCTGGGACAGGCAGGAATCTCAGCCCCCTTCCAGCTGACAATGTTTGCCATCGCTGGGATTGGTGGCTACATGTTCATGGGAAGCCAGGCCAGCCGTGGAAAGTGGTGAGGGATATCTCACTAGTGGGAAGATAGGGCTAATCGAAAAGAACATGGAAGTTACTATGTAGGGTCTAGGGTGATGGGCAATGAATTGGAAGTTTTTTGTTTTTGAATGGGGGGGGGGGCTCTAAGAGCCGTCGAGAAGAGCCTTTCTCCCTAGATGTCATTTGATTTTCCATTTCTCCATCTGATTCTCCACTGCCATAGACCCTGAGTAGTAGATTTCTCAGGTGTCTGGCATGATGCCGCCCGGACGCGCTCAAGGGCTTCAAGCAGTCTCAAAGATGCGTGATGCCTCTACGAAAAATTTGGCTGTCATGTTCTGTGGGGACGCTGAAAGTCCAAGGAACGAGAACCTGCCCTTCAGCATTCCTTTTCAGATTGCAGCAGGAGACGAGGGTGACATGCACGGAGTAGAAAGCAGTCAAGCTGTGGCTTGAACTTGCTCGGGCAAGAATACATCCTTAGAAAATGCGGTCTCAGATGGATGAGGGTTGAAAGAGTAGAGCTGTTTAGCAGTGCTACTCATCTGTCAGAAGCTGAAGAACAAACCAAGAATGCTTACTGGGGCAATGCCAGCATGGCTTGCTCTGCCAAATCTGGAAGCCCAGTAAGCCTTTCAGGATGCATGGCGGCTCACATGCTGATCTCCTACCTTATTAAAGGCATCGGGCTCCATAGCAGCTGCACGTGCACACTGCAGTCATGTCACTTCGCAGGTGTGGTTTTCTGCAAGTCGCTACATCGGCTGGTGGATCGAGAATTTGCATCCGCCAGTGACATGAGGGCCAGATCCTGGAAGCTCATCTGCAGCATTTTTCCCTCCGCAAGCGTGCGTAGATTCTGCTGACCCGAGGATCGGTTGGGTGTGACCTGGCAGAATCAGATCCTGGGGCGTGTATGCATGTCGCGTAATAGATTGCTTGGATTGGTTTTGGAAATGCATGTGCGCGAGCATTCTGTTTCAGCATGGCGACGCACACTCCCCGCAGGGCGATTCAGACTTGCATAGCAGGTATTCGTAGCAGTTCTTTGCTCCAACATTCTTTGGAACCTGGCCTGTTAATTCGCTCAAACCTCATGCGTTACGCTCACTTGGCACCTGGTAGTTGCCAAAAATGATGGGGTCCCAATGTAGACCCCAGAATGAGTAGGTATTCTATTTGAGATATTATAGTGACGTTGCCAATATGGAGTAAGATTACATCCTTTTGTTGGGCATCGTCTTTTATGAGAGGGACGTGAACACAGAAAAAACGCTGCTCAAATGTTATGCCTTACCATGTGGACCCATCGACCCCAAAACGTGACCGTGGACAGCTATGTTTTGCTAGCACCCAGCTTATCTCTGGTTAGTAGGGAATGAAGGAATGGAAAATAGACAATGGACGATACACATTCCTTGCTGAGCCAGTTGACTAATCATATTGAAGTTGTTTGTCTGGCCCTAGGGCAACCGTGGTTTTCGTGCTCTTCGTTTGCTGGTTGTTGGCCAACCTGGTGCCCTTCTTTTCTGATGCCGTGGATTTGCTCGGGGCCTCTGTGACACCGCTACCCGGCAAAGAAAACATAATGACGCTGCTTGTCATGGGATGTCATGGGTGTTGGGGACCACCGTGTGTGATCGAACAAGATGGCACATGTACCAAGGGTCTCGTGCTGGCTGGTCCCAACTTTTCTGTACATCAGGCAGGCCTCTTTTGAGAATGTCGTGGTATGTCGAGGTCTAATTTATGCTGCTGTGGATTCGCATACGTAATGCAGGGCGGTGCAGTTCCTGCGCAGGTTTTACTGGGACTATCCGCACTTGCGCAGAGGCTCAACTTCCGTGTCAGAGAGCAGGGGCGCATGGACGCAGCTCGAGTGCAAATCCAGGTAGCCCGTGGTTGACCATCCTGGAGTGGCTTGTCATAGGCTGGGAAGAAGCATCGTCTTTGGAGGATCTGCACATCGTGACATGCCTGGCTGGTATAGAAATGGTACTGCTCTGCAGGTGCGGAGATTGCCATGGCGCTGACCTTGACTTTTTTCGGCACGGCGGCAGCCTTGCAGAAGATCGGGAAGGAATTCATGCCTGATTGTATGTTGAACTGTTTGTTCAGCTTTGCCTGCAGATGCCATGCCGACGACCCACCTTGGCAGGATTGGGACACATTTGGCTTGCCATTCAGCTGCCATTGCCAAGGCCAGGCCAGGGATATCTCAGCGGATGAGCCTGCTTGCAAATGAGGGGCAGGGCCTGCAAATCCTAGTGCCGTTTCGGGTCGATGAGGTCTTTGGAGCGACTGCACCTGTTCACCCAATCATGTTGGGAACCTTCGCAGCAAAGAGAGTCAAGCATGCACGACATTTGTCACAGACAACTCCGTGTCCTGTGCAAGCCAATGCGCAGAAAAGCTGTAGCTAAGGATGACAGATGTCTGCGGCGCCTAAGGGACGCTGGGCTAAATTCGGAAGCAAGATCAGGCCAACATTTTGTCGTTGTGATGGGTCTGGGGCGAGCATCTCGCTGCTGATCTCAGGCTGGGGTCATCCGTCCGATGGCGCCACTAGAGATGCGAAAGCTCATCTTAGTGGATGCCATAGCCGCCCTTGCGGGCGTGTTGTGACTTCCTTTTCTTGCGCTAATGCCATTCGTACTCGTTCCTGCTGTGAGAATTCGCTTCGTTGCACAATGGAGATGGCTTGACGTTGACTCTGAGGGGGGGGCAGCCTTGCAGAAAGATCATGGGGCTCGAGCACAGAAGGAATGATTGGGTGTCAGTGCCACGGCTTACTTTACATTGATGGATGGATGAAGCATGAGGATGCTGAATGCTGCCCCGAAAGCCTGCCTGGTCTGGATTCTGTAGCTTCGCACGTTCCCCTGCAGAATCAGACCTGACGACCGCATTTCCGGTTGGGGAAGGACCAGCTCCAACGAGAGTCCCAGGCCAATCAGTAAACCATCCTGCCAGCTATTCGCGGTTGAAGGCCCGGCTGGCAAGTAATCCTAAAAGTAGAGGGAAGTATAAAGTGGTATGCCTGCGCTGGTTCTCATCACATAAAGGAGTCTTAAAGATTTGTGTCGTGTAAATCTGTGTTCCGGCAGTAGCAAATGTGGCTCTCTGGAGTGCTTCTGGACGAAAAGGCCAACCTCCATCACAGCTCACTTGTTGCTGCCATGCCAATGCTGCAATCAATTTTTTTCTGCAGCTTCTGGATTCAATGCAAGGATACTGGGCCCTACTACTAGCTGACATTCACAAAGTCTTGAATCAGTTTTGGATGGGGTGCAGTCACTGATGCAGTTGCACGCAGGGTGCACTTGCAGTAGGGAATGGTGTTCAGGGAGGCTTCAAACAACTGGTTTCTTAACATGATTAGGTAGAACGGATTAGAACGTCAAGGAATTTCAGGAGAAAGTTTGCCTTGACGCCGCCACTCAAGTGGCCGTGGTACTACTGGTGGCCCAATGCTTTGGCAAGTGTTTTTATGGGTGCCGGTGGCCCTGGCGGCAGCGCCAGGGGGCCCGCACGTTGTTTTCAACTCCCTGGGGGAATGCACTGCAGAGTCTTGGCGCTGATTGCTTTTTTTTTGCTCTAGTGAGGGAGGGAGTCAGAACTGCAGACTGGCATGCAGGCTGGAGTTGGCATCCAAGGAATACGAGCGTGTTGCTGCGCAGTTGAAGCATGCAGAGCATCGAGCAGAGCATTCTGCGGAAGGCATGGCTGCTGGTATCAGGCATGTTCACTTGAAGTGCATACGCACAGCCCACAGCGCTTGACGCGACACAGCGTCAACATAGTTGCGCATGACCTTCTCACTTCTAGCGCAGCTTGTCTCTTGTCAGCTTGCGCAGGCGACCTTCTGCCAGTAGGCAGTGATGGCTTCTACAAGGCAGCTTGGCCGAGCAGTCTCGCAGTCAATGATTAGCCGCCTCTGGTCGAGGCCTGCTTGATGGCTTTTGTTTGCGTGGTTGGTGCTGCTCTGGCGGCCGGCTTGACTATGGGAACCTCGGATATGTTAAGCAGATGCGGTGGCAATCTGCAGTATCTGTGTTATCTTCAGCAAGGTCAGTTTTTCTCGTGGTCACGGTGTTTCTCTGAAGCCTCATATACGTACGAATTGACAATTTACAGGGATGTTCAATGTTCATTGAAATGCTGCTCCTGCCGCGCAGTTATTCAACAGTTTGGTCAGTGAGTATTCCAAGTGAGAGTTGCTACGTGATTAGGATTGGTTTCCATCGACCCGATGGAGATGGAGATCATTGTCAAGACTGAAGATAAGGCCCGGAGGGTGAAGTTGGCTATTGAGTATGCTTCCAGATGCGCTCCTGTCGTTAGAAGGAGACGTTGTAGATGGCGGCGGTGGCTTCAGCAGTGTTGGTTGTGGTGGTGGTCTTCGTCGTAGTCGTAGTAAGAATAGCGCAAACTATTGCTTGCAAGGGTAGCATCGGCCGGTGTTGTAGTGGCACCAGGAGTCTGGCAGCGTATGAAGTACAACGAAGTCGCGTGCAGGACATAATGGAAGCTTCCGCCAAGGCAAAGCTGAAGAAGGCGGTCCGCAGCGTGTCCCCTTTGTTGTACCTGGAGATGTCTGCCTGCCCCGAAAATTCATATCCTCCCAGCAAAGCCTGGAAAGGACCAGGCAGCTGCAGAGAAGATCCTGCCTTTGATCCATGACCACCACCTGCTCCTAGTGACCTGGATCTACCTGGATCGTCAGGGAGAGTAATGATATGTATGGAGGCCCAAATTACACAGCACTCCAGGCAGATCAGCTGCTGAGGGGTGCTTGTCGTCTTGTTTCACGTCCATGTGCCCTAGATTGTAGGACCCGGCGGAAGGCAGATGAGTGAGTTGGATGGTTGAAATGACTTCAATTTGGCATGCAATCTTAGCATACCTGTCGCACTAGAGTCACTAGGCCTTGCGTTCCTAGGCGTTCCTGAGGTCTGTACAGGTTTGTGCGTTCATTGTGCTACCTTTGCCTATCATTGCTGAACAGAGGTCACACTCCTGCTGATGAACTCAATCGCAAACGAAGCCCTCCCACTGTTTCTGGATCAAGTGGTGCCGTCCATGACCAAGAAGCAGCTTTCACCGCATGCATGCTTACATTAGGAGATGCGGTATCTCGAGGCTTGTTGTGATTCAGGTCTTGGTTGGCCGTTCTGCTGTCCGTTTCTCTTGTTCTAATGCCCCTGGCTCAGGAACTCGGATTGACAAATTTGCACATGTCAGATCCCCATGGCAATTGAACGGCAGTGTAAATACCTCACCAGAAAAACCACGACTGAAGGTTTGGCGAGATCATTCCTTCGGCTGTGTTCACTGGCAGTGAACAGCTGAGCATGGCAGTGCCTGGCTTGCGTCCAGCCATGGTTTGAAATCAGCCGCAGACCCCAAAACCCTATCCTGTTCCAGTCACACTGCTTATCATAATATACACCCCCAATCATATACCTGAATGGTAGTTTTAAGAAATGGGAGAACCCCAATGTAGACCTCAATATAGTTTGGCCCGTATCAGTGGGACCCCCAAATGGTACACCCCAATCTCGGGAAACCTCCCACCCCTATGTAGCACTACGTAATCCCAGCTGCTATTTCATTTTTCGTGCTCTTTTCCATTCGATTCCCCTTTTCATTGAGGGAACACCCCTATAAAAAGATACGATACTTGTGGCCCTATTCCTGAAACCCTAAATTTCCACCTTGCAATGCTATATGGCCGTGCAAGGGCAATAACCCTAAACCCTCCCATGATAAGGCGCGCTTCTCTGGCCTGGTGAGCACCTGGGACTTCGGATGCTCGTGTCCTCCCCTCACCACCAGTTATTCTTTCCAAGTGTTTAGTCAAATTACCACTACTATTCCTAAGTACCATTATTGTCACAAATTGCCATGATTATTAGTCTTACTTTATTCTTGTCAATACGATTACTGTAAGTACTGTTTTTCGTATTGCTTTTACTGGTTCACACAGGCTTGCTTTTTCGGTCATCGAGTCATCACCTAAGTATCAGAGCAGAAGATTGAAGTGCTCTTGACAATCTCACTAAATCCTGTGGCACTAGGTCCCAAGGACCCACATCCAAGGTGCTATTATGTTTCTGCTTACACCTGTGGCGTGGCCAATCGCCAAGCTGCGGCCTGCTTGCAGTAGATGATGTTGTCATCCCCTGCCCATAGATGCGCTACCATGTTTTTGTCTGCGTTTTTCAGTCAAGGGGTTGCGCAGTCAGCATAGACCTGCATGGCACGATGCATTTTTTGGTTTTAATAGCTTCAATCACAGGCTTGACCATGTGCTCGGAGCAGACCACAAGGGCCGGTACAACTTTGCCCCTTGAGCTGCATTCTCTGTTGCGAAGAGTGCCCTTGTGTAGTCTGCGTAACCTGTTTTCGCAGGGAAAACTGCCATTCTGCGGAGTTTGTGCGGGCCTTCTATGTAAGTATAAGAATGTTAGCATGGACAAATAATGCTCATGTGAGAACACCACGCAAGCATGATTCCAACCATGGATTTTTTACTGGCATTCCAGGCTGAACTGCGGGCAATTGTTTCGATGCATGCGGGCCTCCGTGTGGGCACAGATGAAGAAGACCAGGCACGGAAGACCTTTTGGCCGCATATGGCTCGCGCAGAATGAAGTCCACCCTTTCCCTGCAGTGCAGTGTGCGAATGGCATTTCGTTCGGATTGTTGCAGGCGGTCTTCAAGAGCCATGACGAGAAGGGCTTGGGCATCATTTGCACCACACAGCCGCACTCGTTCAACAGCGAAAGTGCTGCTGGCGCCTGAGCTTCCGCAGCATGCCAAAACCTTGGCCGCCTGAGCTGGGGCGGGCAGGTGATTTTCACGGAAACCTCCGAGTTCCCGGCCAAGTCAACGAAGCTTCAGGTGCAGCGCAGTGGGGTGGGTGCCTCGTGAAATGCTTGGCTTGCCACTCATCAGGTGGGCCAGGTTTACTATGCGGTGCCCTGCTCACCTTTGCACCTGCAAGATTCCGAAGCAGGCTAGGAAAGGGACCTTGCTTTCAAACGACTTTTGGCTCGACCGCCTCAGGACATGATATGGCTTTCAAGCTGTACAAGACAAGAGAGAGAAATGAGGAGGACCTGACTCTTGGAGTGCAAGTCGCCATCAGAGAGCTTGCCTCGCCAACGAGAATTCACCTGATGGCAGACTGAGGATAACGTTTACGACAGGTGAGCTCATGTCCGGAGTTTTCCGGCTCCAGGAGCGAGATGAGCTCGCGACCCAGCATCTTCCGAACCAGTCTGGGTGAAGATCCGTTGTCTCTGTCTCTGTTGCCGGCAGGATAAAAATCATGCATGGCGTCATGAACATGACGCATATGACCGCAGAAGAGGCCTAGATCCCGTTGAGTATGTGCAAGTCCCACAGAACAGGCATTCTGATTCATTTTGGCTGCACTCGGATTTGGGTAGTGATGAAGGGTGACAACCACCGAAACTCTGAGCAAGCTGATCCTAAAGCGTATAGCAGTTTCAATTCTGCTTTCCATTCCCGTGTACGCCACTGCCTAACTCCCATGCACGAAATGTAACCCTAGTTTCGATTAACGTGTCCGTTTCATTATTCATCTTTGGGGTAATATCCTAGTACCGACATACCCCTAGCTGGCACTCCCAGTTGCGATTCGATTGGTGCTCGCCTTCTGCCTGATCCCTTTGCCAAAGCATGAGGCAATGGTGCCTCTGAGTCAAGCCCACATGCAAGGCACTTAGGGCTCTTGTTCCTGGCGCTGACAAAGGGCAGTCTGATGACGCATGCGGTTTTGCAGAAACATGTCTCCAAGGATGGATGCAGACTCACTTATCACGCACGACTCACTGCGGGAGCCGCAAACTGTTGTGCACTCCTAAATGGCTGCTGTTGTCATGTTTGTGGTTATGTTGGGTATGAATTTAGCCGAAAATCATGATGTCCCGTGGTGCTAGGACATGGACAATTTCGGCCACTCCCGGGTTCCAGTGTATGCAAAGCTTCTCGGCTGATGCATGCAAAGGGTGCCCAAACCAGGTGAAGTAAGAACCGAAGAACAGAGCTCCAATGGAGAGGTCTTGCAGCAACCTTACCCGAGTGTTGGGGCGGACACACAAGCACTGGATGGATAATGATGGATACAGTTTGTTGCAGCTCAAGATGTGGTGTTTCGATATTGTGCATGAGGATGCCTTTAGCTGAGGAGATTATGAGATTTTTGTGCAGTCGAACACATATACCGAGTGTAACTAAACCTGGAACTCTGAAGGCGTAGGTACGCCTTGATTGGCATATGTCTATGGCTGTCTCATTTTCTGACAGATTCCTTGACTGCAGTATCCCGTGCTCGGACCGTGCTATCTTGATGGTGTTGTTTTGGTTTCGCTCGGGCTTGTCGTCAGATTGTTGTCACTTACCACCGTTTGGCATGAACTGCAGGCAGTCCATGCGCTGAGGCGTTTTTTTTATTAAGTCCAGCCTGCCAGCATTTTGTGGTACAGCTGCTGGCTGCTGCAAGGAATCCGCACAACGTGCGCGGCTTCCTGCTAGTCAAGCGCCTCATTGCCTCTCAGCTGTAGGGCGCTGTCCAGAGACGGAGTGCCGGGGGATATCAGAAATTGGAAGAGAAATATGTACTGTGGGCCGTCCTTTTACCTTTGGCTTGACACTCAGGTCCTGCTACCAGACCAGCTTAACGGCTCGCTGCACCTTGGCACACACAAATTTCCATCTACGGGGTCAAGGTTTGGACCCTGCCAGGCTTGTTTAGCAGCTTGCAGCAGCTACCGAAACATAGCTTGTGCAATGGCTTCCAGCTGCAAAAGTCCCTCACCCTCCTTTGCATCAGGAAGTTTGGCGACCTTCACCTGCTCAAGATGATTGTAGTGCCCGGGAACATGCTCATGCAGCTCGACAGAAGCCAAAGCTCCCCCAAAGCAGCGGGTGCAGGGTCTACCTCTTGTTAGCTATGTTGTCGAAGCAGCAAGGCTGGACCTGCTGAACAAGTTCCAGGCAAGGCCTCTGGCCTTGGCACTGTGTCAGACAAGACCATGATGTGCCTCGGACAGGAGGAAAAATGCCACCTGGGGCTGGTCACCAGCAATCCAGAGGCGAGGCATGTGACGCCGCTGATTCCGTCAGTCTGTTGGCTGTAATGGGTGGGCGCGTATGGTGTGTATGCGAGGCCGTGCAGGAGGCTTGGAGTGACGGCACGCCCATCCCACCGGCACCCTGGCGGGAACCTCTTGTCCTGTGGCCAGCTTCTGCTGCTGCAGCCAAGGATGTACACATGAAAGGCATAATCACGTTGGAGGACGTCATTGAGAAGCTCATCCAGGCCTTTATGGACATCTTGGGGAACTACAGTTAATCCTTCACCAGTGAAGGAGAACATTGAGGACGAGAGCGACCGCGTAGAGCGTACGGTCACGATGCGCAGTCCCGGACCTAGACCTAGATCCCACCAAGCAATTTAAAGAACCTAATTGAATGGCAGTGGCTCCTGCATTTCAATCGGCTCTTGTTTCCACGCATGTGGCACTTGGTAACGCTGTGCGCTCGCGATCGCTTTGACCACGGGGTATGTGGTTTGCTTTTGAGATGAATCCATGAGACGCAGTAGGGGATGACAGAAAGCGTCAAGGCCTGAGGTCTTCCAGTGGCCAAAGCCCCAGACAGCATTTGGCACTGTGACCGTTGTGGCATCATTCCTAGCCCCGCAGGTTCGCCCCGGATCCCTTCTCATCCAGCACCATCACCGCCATCCTCGAGCCCCAATTCTCTGCGAGTGCCTGTGCTAAATCAGGGTGCTAGCTAGTGACCACTGTGTGGAGGAATGGCTGCAATCCAGATGCAAGAAACACAGCGTCATAGACAAGTGTGACCGGGAGTGCCTGCAAGCGCGAGAAGAGAATTGCCCTACTTGCTTGAGATTTTGTAGCTGCCATCAATGCATGCAGCATGGATGCCGGATGTCCTGCTAAGCTGCTGCGCTGCGCATGGAAGTTCGGCAAAGCTTGTCCCTTGTTCTGAGGCGCCATTGCTTGCAAAGAAGACGGCCAAGGATGATGCAATTCCAGATGTGCTTAAAGCCAATGTCAGAACGGGATGGGTGCTGTTGGTGTGTAAAAGGACCGATTGGAAATCCCGCACCTGGCCCAGTGTTGTGGCAGCATTCAAGTGTGCTGGCAGCTCCGTCTACTGAGGTTGGAGACATCAGGCCGGTCCCAGAACAGTTTTTCAGCGGGAACCTGCTCATCATGGGTCGGCTCAGAGCAGGAAACGCATAAGCTGCGCAGAAGCCATGCCAGCCAAGGCTGGTCTCAGAGAATGCATTGCGCATCCCGGATTTATAGTCGTCTTGGCAGGCGGCGTGGCTGTAACGGGCTGAGAGCAACATCGATTAATCATCAATTTTACTAGAATCTTCTCAAGTTGATTTCAAACTGGCCAGTTGTGGGCGCGTTGCGGCCGCACTGGCGTCAGAAGCAGACAATGTGCTGCATCAAGATGCCAGCTGGAGACGAGACAGAGCAAGGATAAGACAAAGAGCGCATGCCGTACGTTGGACAGGACTACACCGCTTGCAGCAGCATGACGAGCAACTTTGTGAATGGACAGAATTTTGTGAGTGTGACGGCTGGCGTGGAACGTCAAGGTCAGCCTGGCATGATCCCGTTCCGTTCCAGATTGCCACAACTGAAACCGACGCTGCCCATCTTGTAGCCAGCCAAGGCAGACATACATGCGGGAAGCTTCTGCAAATCAAAAGTCAACTTTGAGGGTTCGTCACTCGCACCGTGCCCTCTGCCATGCTGTCTCCATTCTTCGGACCGCCCCATGTTGGGAAGACGGTGACAGGGACAATCTGGCGAAGCACCCGGTGTGTGGCCGGGCCGCCAGGCAGGGCACAGCCAGACACAGCCCATGTTTTGCTGACCACTCGTGACTAGTGGGAATGTAGTCTGAGCTTGCGGAAGGTGCTTGGACAGTCCTGGGCACAGCTTGCCTGACTGCTGCATGGACTCAGGCTGGAAAAGTTGGGCTGTGCCAGTTGAAGCTGCTTGTGCGCATCTTGCCAGGTTCGCCCTCGCAAGCCGACAGGTGCAACAAAGAGTCGCTCAATCGCGCGTGTTTTGGACATCAAAGTGCCAGCCAACTTTTGGGACCCGCTTGAAATCTCGCCAGACGGTGATGTTGCCCTCTTCAAATGCCTTAGAGCAGCCTCAGTAATGCATGGCCGGATGTGCATGATCGCCTGTACTTACGAGCTCGGCTACAAGCAATTCTCCAAGAGCCTGGCAGCCTGGACTGACATGCCGGGTGACTTGCAGGGCTGCATGGCCGAGTTCCTGGCCCTCTGCGAGCTTTTCTCACGCAAGTTTGGCTGGCATGTCCAACAAGACAATGCCCGCACAGCCTCGAAGTCCGACCTGAAAACAGGTCGTTTAGCTTTGATGGCAGTCTTAAGCCTTTGCTGCCAGGAAGCCCTGGCTGATCCTCTTGTTTGCCTGCTGCCTGAAAGACCTTGAGTGCAATCCCAGCAGACAAGCGCCCCATCACAGCATGTGAGCATGCGCGTTTCAAATCTGAGCTCGGAAGAGCGTGCTCCCATTCATGATCAATGATGGCACTATTCAGCAGCTGTAGGTATTGTGGGTGAGGCCATAGTAAGTCTTTTCGCAACCAACCTTGGCTCCGACGAGCTCCGTTTCAGAACTTTGTGCCCCTCTGCCGCCCCGGAGTTTTAGTGCTTTGCATCCTGTAGGGGATACGGTGACTTACAGGAGGAAGAGAGCTCCTCGCTAGCAGACCCCTCATCTCCAGAAGGACTGCAGGTGGATTGCACAACGTCAGAAGTGGAGGCAAATCGAGCCAAGCTGCTAGAAAAAGAGCAGGGGCTGGAAGGTGTGCATGGTGAGCTTCAGCCCAAAATCATAAGCTTTGCCTGGAATCCCAGAGCACCAAAGGTCGAGCGGGAGATTGCGCAGCTGCTCTCCACGACTCCATGGCTGCGGAGGCCAGAAGTTGGTAGAAAGTAAGCTTGGACCGTCAAAGCAAGTATTGAACTTGTCCCGTCCCGAACATGATCGTCGCAACATGCAGGAGTGACTTCGATTCCATGGTTCGGTGGCGATGCCCAGAACCATTGCAAGACATGTAGTGCTCAGATAGGGATTCGGGAAATGGTCCCTCGTTTGCGGTTGCCGCGCAAGAAGACAGTGCAGTTGTGCTGTGGCCGAGGTCTAGACAAGATGACTAGCATGAACCTTCGTAGAACGCAAGTGAGCATGCGGCAGCATGAGGCAGCACTTGCATGCCTTCCATGGTCTGGGAGGCGCATTGCAGGCGGGCATTCATGTCAAGAAGTGATAAAAAAATGTTGCTTGATGGGCATTCTCTGCAGATAGCTTCAAAATGAGGCTCCATCAAAGGAAATAGTTTCTCGGGAAAGACCGACGCCCATGGCCTTGGTGAATGGGGTCTGGGGGAGTACAAAACCCCGGTAATGTTCTCACTACCAGCCATGATTTTGGGTCAAGTTGTCAGAGTCAAATAGAGTGAGTCATGAGCAGTGCGTCGTATGTTGAGATTTGACGCTCTTGCACGGCCACGTTTACGCCGCTGAAGTTAAGGCTAAGAGCCTCAAGCTTGGACAGGTCAGGGCAGCCTTGGCAGAGGCTGTGCTTTCACATCAATTCTTGTGCCTCTGATATGAGGGGGAAGTGCCGGGATCTCGCTAAGCTGTGGGTACCATACCACTGTGTGCCATTGAGTTTCGTGTGATGCAGACCTTTGGAACTATTGGCTTGGCACAATCACGCACCTATTTAACAACATCCAGAGTGCGCTTGTGGGGCTCTTCTTTGCATTTGTAGCCGCAGGGCCCAGGATCATTTGTGTGTATTGTTGTGGTTGGATGCGGCTTAGCCTGCAGGCTCTGCCATTACTCCTACTACAGAAAATGTCAGGCAGCGCGCAAACACATGGCGGACACAATGCCTTGGTTTGTTACGAGTAGCATGCAGATGGACAGAGTTGCAAGAGAAGTTGCTGCTGCAGTGTAGCTGCGTTCAGCACAAGAAATGCCTGACATCATCAAAACGTGCATCAGATATGCTTCTCGGGCAGATGGTCATTTACATTGAAGATGATGCAAGAAACCCTGCAGTACCTCAAGCCGTGCCACTCAAAACTCCACAGCTTTAGTTTTCCATTGCCAACAAACCTTTCAAGCGCATCGCCTTACTCTCACCTGTGCGCATGTTATGCGTGTCGGTGCTGCTCGAGATGCGGCTTCATGATTGCGTTCTTTGAGCTGCTTCTCCGCATGAGTCTCCTGTTCTCACTTCTGTTCGCATGAGTCTCTTGTTCTCACTTCTCGATCTGACTCTGTAGCTCAGGCTGGAATGCTCCTGCACAGCACCAGAGGAGGCAAGCTGTGAAACTTAAGGAGTTAACTGTTAACATTGTGCCTCCTGGACATTTGCTTCTCTATCACTATTACATACTATTGCCATTACCACTACTAGTACTATTGCCATGACCGTAGGTATTATTAGTATTGTTACCTTAAATCCTAAACCTTAAGCCCCAACCAAACCCTAAATCTCAAACCCTATATAACCCTATTATAGTAGTTTCCATTTTCTTTTCCATGATCCCTTATAACCCAATATCTACCCTATAATCCTAAATCTTAAACCCCAGCAGGTTGTCTTCCTGGTAGGGTCTACAGCTGCCTTGGGCAGCTGGGACACCTACCAAGGCATCGAGCTGGAGACCAGCCTGGGTCCACGGAGATCTCCTTCATGATGGTTCGTGGGGAATGGAGGAATATAGTTTACAGGGAGCATATGGAGAATGTATAGGGATTAAAAAGCGGAATATCTAGGGAACATGTAGAGGTTATGTATAGGGATTTTCCTTCATTCCCTACTAACCACTAGTAGGTCTCACTTTTCAGGGAATTCTGCCGCAGAACAGACCCAAGGTCCAGAGAGGTTTCCCTGGTGGTACACTGTGGATCCAGTGATACTAGACAAGAGGCACAACGACTTCCAGTTTGCCATCTCCGCAACTTGGGCCTTTAAGGCTTGGGGGTTCGACTGGAGGGGTGCCTCGTGCACTAGATGGATCACTTGGGGTCAAGCCCTTTGTTCCCTCAAGAGCGCTACGAGCAAATCTCTAAGGATCGTTCTCTGCAAGCTGTGCGATGGGAAGGCCTACCCTTTCATCGGCGCCTGCAATGTCCAAAATGCAAGGACACAGACACTCGAAAAGTATGATGCTGTGAGCACATGGCAAGTCCTGAGGACGGTCAACCAATGGAGGTGGTTTTTCGAGCGTGCTGGGAGGACAGCAGGTTTGCGCAAGCCGCAAGAAAATCTTTAAAGCTTCGGAAGCATGCGAGGATCCCAAGAGCACTGTGACGATTCGGCCAGCGAAGCCGCCGCTTCGTGCCGAGGTAGTGATGCCTCCCTGCTTGAGTGATTGCGGAGGTTTTGCTTCTCCTCCAAGACTTTCCAAGCACAGAAGTAGGTACGCCATTCTGGACCCAGGGTGTCATGGATTGCTTGGCCGTTAGGAGGAAGGCGTCCGAGCTCTTCACGTAACCGATACGACCTGGCAGCCACGGCCCACCGCATCTGCTGGTTCTACGGCGGCTTCGTCACATCCTGGCGGAAATTGGCCTGGTCCAAGGTTCCTTGACCCTGAGGATGAGGATCGTGCTGTTGGCGTCAAGTCGTGTTGGGAAAGCAGCACGCGTTTGTTGATTCAGTTTTTAACGTGATGCAGCATGCAACGCAAAAGAGCACTGGAGGAAAACACTAGCATGAAAGCAAATGCTTGTCACTAGGCAGCATAGAAGTGCAAAATGAAACATTGCCTCGACAACAAGCACGGGCAACGTGCTGCCGCGCGTATGGCACGGCATCAAACTTGGTCACGCGCCCGCTAATTGTAGAAGCTGCTTTGGCAACCTCCCTCGTTGTCATCCTCAATTATTCGCTTGTTGTCTCTGTGATGTCTGTACACTGCGCGCTGCTGACTGCTGAAACATTGAGGCCGCCGACCATGACCAGAGATGCGCCGTCTGCGCTTCAGCAGGATGTCTTCACAGATTCAGATGTGGACTTCAGTGATGATGATCCTTTTCCCGACCACCGGACCTCTAAAAAGGCACGTCTGGGCCAGGCTCAACAGCGGCCTCCGGGAGCTTGGAGAGAGAGTGCTGTGCTTCCTGGCAGTGACTTCACGGCTGCTGGCAACTACGGTAATTCAGAGCTTCTGGCACGCGCACATGGCACTCAGCTGGACTCACGGGCTGCAGCATCCAGAGCTGAAGCTCCTCTTGGCACGCCACCCGTTCCAGGTGGCTTCAACCTTGGCAGATCCTTCGGTGAGCGCCATGTGTCTACAGCTGCGCCGGGGTGGGGGGCAGCAGAACGAACAAACCAAGTTGCTGTTGCTGAAGGTGCACCTCGTAGACGGGACATCAACGAGCAAGCGAGCCACCCTCACAACTTCCCAGTGCTGGGTTCAGGAGCCATCCGCAACATCGTGGATGATGGAGAGGCAATTGCAGACGGTACAGGCGTTTTGGACACAGGAGACAGGAACCCTGCCAGACATATGCCTGCTCCGCCGCCCCCCACAGCCAGAGCAACATCTGGCAGGCCAACACCAGAGCCCGCAAGATACACTGCAGAAGCCGCGGTTCAGCCTAGCTACGGCCATGTCATAGGCGAGGAGGCGCAAACTGCTTGGGAGGGGGGAGCACCAGCACGAGGCAGCGGTCAGCTCAACCGAGCTGGTGTGGCCACAAGACACGTCCAGGAAAGCATGGTTGGGTCAGACATCAGCACGTCAAGGTCACAGGCGCGCCGTGTGAATTTTCCCGGCCAGCCAGCCACAAGCCAAGCAGCTGCTCACGCAGACTCCGCCCCATCAAACGTTGCTGGTACTGTGTTTTCGCAGCGTATGCAAGATGCTGCAGGAGATCCCTCCATGATGACTACGGCTGCTGAGGTAGCATCGATCGCGGCTGGCTCCAGCATGATGCCAACATCGGTGCCCGCATCAGCAGTGGCCCCCATCAGCAGGGGCAGCACCTCACAAGGCTGCAGGTTTGAGTACAGCTCCCAGAGGGATGCGCGTGCCCAGCGTGCCGGTCAAGTGGGCAACAGAGCAGGACAAGCTGGCAGCACTACATTCCACCCAGTCGATAGTGCCATCAACCGACTGGACAGAAGTCAACCTGTTCCTGTTCCAAGCAGTCGTGCTTCAGAGTCACCGCTGCCCAGTGCCAACTCTGCAGATTCGCCTGTGCACCGGACAGGCATTGCTAGAGACCGCGCCAGAACTCAGCCCGTACTCCGCATGAACAGCACCCCGC